TAATTAAATGATGTAATTAAATAATAACTATTCTTTAAGTTTTTAAAGAGAACTTTAAAACCGTATATTATCGGGTCGGAGTGGTCGGAAGTCACGTGACCCGACACCTCGTTTTTGCCATGGCTAGGGTACTAGTATATTTCATTCTAATTAGATCTTATCGCATTTCGTAGTTTTCTAAGGTGTGCAACAAAAATAACGGAGAGGGAGTGGTAAGGAACATTTTTTTCTAATTAGATCTTATCGCATTTTGTAGTTTTCTTTAGAGATGGAGCTATCTAAGGTGCGCAACAAAAAATACTGGAGGGGGAGTAAAGAGCATTGGGTATTGTCTTATTTTACAGTCATCACTAAAATGTGAAGGGCAAATTGCGGGCCTGTCAATAAGAAATAAATGTAATCGAGAGATGTAAAGATTTGGCGAATGGTTTTGTGATAACTATGATGTGACAAACATTATATGAGGCAATAAAATAAAACTATGTATTTCACTTTGATTATAACACTTATTTTCACGTATTAAGTTTGGTTTATTTATTTATTTAACCTGCTTCAGATACAAATTTTAACTATAAAAATATTACAAGAAACAATTATAGTAATATATATAAACTAATATACGACCTGCCCACCAAACCAAAGTCAGTGAGCACTTAGGCAGGCTTGTATGCATGTTATTATCAGCTAAGGTCCCTTTCGGGTTATTTTTTTTTCTGGTCTCTGCATCGAAGACCGATTTTAGACCAGTCCTGCGATCCTATTGGTCCTCAGTCCAAGACCGGTCCGGACCAGTCTTTTGCAAGACCAATGCATCCCTAGCGATAGGATAGAGGAAGCAGGTGTTTCTGAATTTTTATTTTCCTTCTCACAAGAATTTTGCTGATCACTTCGTGAACTCGGTTCACAAAGTTGGGTTACAGAACTTTTCTTGTCATCCCGTAACTCAGCCAGAGGCAGGCTCACATCAATGCTATACTGTAATCATAGGATACATCATCTATAATATACTGGATTTCCTTTTTTGTTAATGTAGATATACTGTCAGCAGAAAGGAATGAATGCGATAAAATTTATCCATACCTATTGCATCAAAAAGTTTATAAAGCTTCTTTGCTTTTTCGATTCTCTTACATAAAAGGCTATTAGAAGTGTCTGTGGGTAGCTGTGCTTTTATATCTTTATTTAAAATTCTACTAACGGTATTGTATTCTGGATCAACTTGTTTTTCCCATGCTATTTTATTACTCTCTGAATAATAGCATTTCCTAATAGGCAATAACACGCTCAACAAGAATTATAGCATCACAAAGTACATATAAAAGCGTAAAGTTAGTATTGCTTCATCCTGGCATTAGTTGTAATATTCCCATTTATATTATCATTATTAATAGAACTTGAGTTTTCAGAAATTTCTGACATGATTTTCTATACTTTGTCTTGAGATCCAATATTCTTTTCTCTTATTTTCTCACTAATCGTTTTTTTATGTATGCTATCCAGGAAATCTTTGATTTTCTTCTCTTCTGATGATGTAGTTTTTATAGTAATAGACGACGTAGGGGGTTGGCTATTCTTTTTCTGGTATATATAAGAAGAACCAGAGGTTCGATGAAAAGCATCATCAGATGTTATATTAGAGTTATTTTCTATTTGTTCAGTATTAATACTAGAATTTGAATATATTAGATGCTGGAGTATCGTTAGAATTTACTGGAGATTGTGAAACATCTTTTGTAGTCTCGAAGAGTCATTGCTCTGCAATAGAAATAACTTTTTCTCCCTGTTCTAATATAGCGAGTCTGGTCTCAAGCTCTTTATTCTTTTGCTCTAATTTCTCGACTCTAACATCATGCTTTACATTTTCCTCAATAATTTGCTTCAACCTCGCATTCTCAGCCTCAGCCTCAGCAAATATTAGTAGCCTCTCTCTAAGTTCAGGAATTTCAGTATTCTCTTTCCTAAGTTTGGCAATCTCAGTTAAGAGCTTGGCATTTAATTCTCTTAATGAATCGTTGGATTGCATGTTCGATAATAATTTTTTATATGCGATGGAATAATTCAAAAGTTCGTTAGCATAGATAAAAAACGAGACGATATCCTCATCAGAATTATTGATTTATTAATATAAAAGAATAAATTACAAGATTCGGTAATACATAAACTTGTTTTATAAAGTGAAATAAAATTTCTATGCTAATTCCTGCGGGTGTTCACTCATCTAAGGCTCTAAGTCATCAGCTATGCACAAAAAATGCAGAGCAGAAATAAATTAACAATATTGACCTTAGTAAACCCGCCGGTAATTTATGTTTTTTACCTTCCGTAATGTTAATTAGTTAATATGTTCCTTTGAGATCCTAAATGAAAAATTTCGACACAAATGTTCCGAGATAATAATATTCCTCTCAGCCTCACATACAAAGAAGTGATATGATTTTCTCAGAGGTATAAAGATCATGTGCACGTTACAAATTGTAAAGCCAATCACTTTTGCTAGAACCAAGTTCACGAAGTGATCAGCAAGGAAAGCGGAAAATCTATCTGCCAGCTATTTCTTGGTAATTTTTTCTTGTACGCGACGCCTCTTGCTTTCGGGTTCATCACATGCGGTTACTCTATACATTATTTCCGAGATTCTGTTCAGCAATAATAACTTTCTTTTGATCGATGCAGATTTATTTAGTAATTGTGCAGAGATAAATAGGGAATAAGAATTTGGGAAATCGCCATTTTACTAATGTCTTTCTCAAAAACAATTCAGGTCTTCGGTCGCAAAAAAAATATATTTGTGCTTGCATTTATATTTATATTTTTGACATTGCACTTGCCTCTCTTTCTTTACTACTTTTCGGAGCCAGTCGCAACCCCTTTATCCTTTCACATCCACACTTTCGAAAACTTTGATAACCCTGTCTACTATCTTGTACGAGCGTATTTGTTGTTTTTGATTATTGCTCAGTGGAATTTCTAATCACATTCTCACTATTTGTAGGGTGTCATTGGGTTAAGAATTATTGACATCTTTATGGTTCTGCTTGGTTTCTTTTTCACTGTGTTAGGAATTATTGGCATCTTTGGGACTCTGCCTGGTTTCTTTTACACTGGATATCTTTTTTACGCTTATTGCAGAAACAAATTCAATGATAGAAGTCTTATAAAAGTCATCGAAAAAGGCACTCGACCTAAAGTAGAAATTTTGGATGATAAGCTTTTTTCTCGACCTATAATTGTGGATTATCTTAAAAATATTCTTCAACCGGACAGTGATCAATCATTTTATTATGTTGTTTGTGGGGAACATGGAAGTGGGAAAACTACGCTGTTCAGAATTGCATCAAGTGAAGTTGGTCGTGGCGTCGTATACGTTGATGTTCCTTCTCGTGTTGAAGATTTTGGCAAAGGATTTGGAAAAGCTCTTAACTTTGCATTTGAGGAGCGTATCTCTTTTACACAACAATTGACACGAAAATTGGTTGATACAAATGGTGAGTTTTTATTATCTTAATATTTTTATAATAGCAAACATTATTGATCCTAATTTCTTTCTCTATAGGGAATTCTAATGAGCCGGTGTGGTGGAGAGCTCTGAAAGCATTTAAACGTGGTGCCAAAGAGTATAAAGCTAAATACAATAAACCTGCGGTCATCGTTTGTGATAATGTGAGCCGGTTGGTTCATAAGAATCCAGAAGTTCTTGATATCCTCCAAGACGACGCCAAAGACAATGCCGATGAACATATATACATTGCGGTGTTTATCTGCAGTGAAGGTGCAGTTCTGAGAATGAAATGTAAGTATAGAAATTATTATTGCCTTTGAAGGAGAAATGAATTATAATGCAATTCCCATCTAGCTCGTAGTTCCTGGTCACGAGCAAAAAACCCACCAATGGAAATCTGTGACCTTAGCGAGGAAGAATCAATAAAATATATGACAGAGATACATAAGATCACCGAAAAAGCGGGAGAATTATATCAACTAGTTGGTGGTCGCATTTTAGAGTTGAAAAGTGTTGCAAATGATTTATCGTCAAAACAATTCATTGAAGGTATGAATAAAGTTTCATAAAGTTTCATAATTTACATAATTCTGCTTTGGATTAACTGCCTATCTCATTCTTTATAGATATCAGGGAGAAAATATTACTTAAAGCCTATAACAAACTTTATTCAGCAAAAATACTTAAAAATCAAAAACATCATGAAGCAGGAAAACGTGTAATTGACGCTTTGCTGAGATCCAAAGAGATTAATATTGAAGAATTTAGAGAATTATTTGCTAATGAAGAGAAATACGATGATGCCTTAGAAGCTAACGTGTTTTCATTTCATCCATCAAGAAATACCGTGAGTTTCCAATCGCAATCAATAGAATATTACATTCGGGAAAATTATGATGCATTTGCTGATCTAGTTAGCCTCAGTTCTAATTACGCATCAACTTCCAAATAATAAAATGGACGAGAAACTATTTTGTACGAATATATGGCATCAAGGCTTAGCATAATATATCGGAATAAATTTTAGAAAAAAATGTCTGAAAAAAAAGTCCACTATATTGATACTTAATGACGGCTCATGCCGGTATGCATGCACTTCGTTAATCAGTTAAAAAACAAAAACCTGGTGGGGGCTGGTTTATCAAAGTATAACGATGCTAAAAAATGGAGGACTAACTAGTTTGGAGGTTAAGATTTTGATTATGGTAAGATTACGACGATTCTATATGTTGACTATGTTGAGACAGGCTTTGAGAGTGAAGAATTTTGTTGGAAATTGTACGTTCTGCTTCTAGTTTTGCTTTGATTGCTTTGTTTATTTTCGATTGGAGGAATGAAATTTCTTTGTCAGAAAAAGTAGCAACGTTGATAGCATAATCAATTTGAGAAGAAATGATCCAGTGAGAAGCTTGTTTAATACCAAATCTATTTCAACTCCTTTGCAAGGTAATTGCTAAGGCAAAATTTTGAACTTTTTCTATTGTTTTGTTTTTTGTAGCTGTTGCAAAGTATTTTTAGACATAAGGATCCTAATGATTCTCTTAGATTCTGTATTCAATTTTCAAGTTTATATTATATTTAATAGGTGGAATATACCCTACAATCATTTTTAATAATATTCTGAGCTTTATGCAATTCTATTTGATTCTGTTTGATTCCAATTTTCAGAATCATATTTAGACAGGTAGATATCAAGATATTTGATACTTTCTTTATAGAGCTTGGGATGTGATTCTTTTTTCTTTATGAGCAGAGGCTGGTTTTTCTTTTCATTGGTTGATTTGAGATTTATAATAAAGTCTGTTTTTTTTTTGTTAATTTAATGAAGTTCAAGAAGAAAACAGAAGTTTGTTGCTTCTTGAAGTAAACAAAAATTGGAGCTTGTAATAGTGATATTATTTATATAGGCAAGAGTTTTGCTGGCAAAATTAAATTTTTTTGAAATTGTCTAGAGTAGGAGCTATTTTTTCTTGATTCAAATATTTATTGATTATGAGAGGGTTTATGAGTTTGTAATAAGTTATAATTTTTAATTCCATATTATTAAAAAGATTTAGAATAAGGGAGACTGTAACAAGAAAAGCTTTATATATTTTAGTGTTTTAGAAAAACTGATGAGATTAACAAAATCAAATACTTTGCAAATATTAAATAATACTATTCAAATTTTCTTGTTAAGATTATTAATTGTATTAATGTCAGAAATAATTATAGCATAGACTTTATAGTACTTTGATTTTTTGTCTAGCAAAGTTGAACCTAGAAAAAATATTATATTTTAGAATAGCATAAGAAAGCCTTTTATTAATAATTTTAAAAAAATTTCTGCTTGTTTTTATAAGAAACATTGGTTAAATATCTATTATATTATATAATTACATCATTTTTTTGGCAAAAATATAACAACAGATTATTTTCAGAATTTTGTGATATAGTTTATTTATAGAATTTTATTATATAGAATAATAATATTTCTTTTAATAAAGAATTTAAATGGATTTATATTTTATAAAAAATAAGAGTAAAACCATAAGCTTTTTATTTGGATAGTTTGAAATAGGTTTCTT